ATACAATTAATATTATAAAATTCATATATTACTCCCAATATATTTACTACTTATAACCATGCTCTTAGTGAGTATGTCCCGCGGCGTGGATCTCGAGTTTTATGGACTGCAAGATCGAAAGATAAATGTTTATGTTTCAAATAGTAAGAAACGTTTTTGTGACTTGGTGATGTAAATTTGTACTTTTGCGCATATTGACTTTTGTTTGTTTCATTCGTTGTTTTTATGCAATTGGAGAAGTAACTTTAATGTGCAATTTGGGAAAAGTAACTTCAATGTGCAATTTGGGAAAGAAAAAAAAGACCAGTTTGTTATAATTTTGGCTAAATGGCTCCGTTTGACTAGACTCAGTACCTTCCAATAATTGCTCAGCTTGGTGCACGAATACATAACATATAACATTTGAATCAATACTTAAGACGTTACTTATTTTATTAATAGTATGCATTGTATTAAGGACCAATGAAGTAGTAACAATTACACCTAAAATTCTTACAGCTACCCACAGTCGTCAAATATTCTCTTATGCAGTGATATTTACATTTAAGACAGAAATCGGCTTTAATGTTCGCGTAGACTGGACTTTCTGCACGCTTAAAAAAAAGAACATCTTTTTCTAGATTAGATTTCGCCATGATACTCGATGGACCTGCGAAAGATATTAGAAAAGGTTAAAAAAAATTGAATTAAAATATTATCAAATCATATGAGCTTTGATTTATGTATATCTTGTTTATCAGAAAATAAACTTACATAATGAAACAAATAATAGAAGAGTTAAAAAACAAACAATTGATTTCATCGTTTTTTTGAAATTTCAATATTTTCTTTAAGAAAAGTACTAATTATTTATTCTTCTTATGTTACAAAATACTATAGTTAATATTGCAACGTTTTATTTTATTAATGCTGATTAGAAAAAAAAATATACTCCTTTAAACTACAATTTTAAACTTTTAAATGTTAAATACTGACAAAATTTTTTTTATATAAGTACATTAGTTATATTAAAATAAATATTAAAAAGTGGTATTAATTAAGAAGAGATGTTTTGTAGTTAAAAAAAAGGAGTAATTACATAAAAAAATATTTCAACTAAATTCTGATAAGTTTTTCAATACTCTAATTTTTTGAATGCCTAAATAGATATCCCGACTATATTTTTATCCAGCTTAAGTTTATGAAATTTGAGTTATTTTCTGAAATTTTTCTTTAAACAAAAGATACTATATACATCATACTAGGTTTTAAGAATAAATTTTTATTTTATTTAAATTACTAAGTGTTGATTGTATATATGTCTACCATAAATATTTATACCGAATTAAAATGAATAACATTTATTTTTCTATAATTTAGACTTGTACCATTTGTATTTTTAGCAAATTAAAAATTCGTCGAACCAGTATGTGAGGCTAAACAATAAAAATAAATTTATCCATTTTCTTTTTTGCAATTTAAAAAGAACTAAACCCTAAGAGTGGAGAGTTTTAATCCTCTAGAAGCTTTAACCCTAACAAAGTAAACAAAATTATGGTTCGATTCAGCTCGGCTATAGTAAAATTTACCTTGTATATGTAGTGTTCGGTTAGTTTTGACGGGTGGTTTTATAATCACGTCGTACCTTCAAAAAGAACTAAACCCTAAGAGTGGAGAGTCTTAACCCTAGAGATGCCTTAACCATAACAAACTAAATAAAACAATTGTTCGATTCATCTCATCTATAATGAATATAGCTTGTATATGTAGAGTTCAGTTTGTTTTAGCGGGTGATTTTACACTCTTATCGGACTTATCCTTATCATATAAATTTGTACCAACATTTATATCATATGATCACCTATCACTATTTTAAAAAAATTGATTTCGAATAATATTTAGTTTTTAAAAAAAAAGTTTTCGCTCATATT